ACCTACTGACTGCTGCGACGTTCCATCGGCGCAGCCGCCGTCCTTTTCGTCTTTCTCTCTCTCTCTATCTCTCTCTTTCTTTCATTCTTTCTTTCCTACACTACCATACGCCTATCCTTTCTCCTAGAAGCCTATCTTTATCTCTTTCTCTTACAGGCTAAAAATCGAACGGCACACGTCGAGAACTTTAGCTTCCTCCATCTTCTTCCATCCCCTAATCTAACATGATCGATTTCTAGAAACCAATCGAATTTCTGCAAAATTGCTTATTACTTTTCTCGCACGCGTTCCATCTTAATAACGCAATCTTCTTCGAAATTTTTCGACTTGATTTGTTTTTTTTTTCAAGACCAGCTTATAAGACCAGCTTAATTTAATTTTTTTCTTTGTTATCTTTTCTCTCTCCTATTTTTCTGTTTTCATAGTAGATATAAAAATCATGCGGAAATTCGACGGAAGATTGTAAACAATTAGGTACGATCATTATACATTATTGAAAGCGATCGAATCTTCAAGTGGAAAAACACTTTTTGATCGACGAACAAATTATCTTGATTCAAATTGAAACAAAAAAGAAAAGAAGGAAATGAAGGTTCAGGATTTCATTATCGACAGAAGGGGCCGTTCATTCTACGCGAAAGTAGACCGAGCGAAATCCGGTGGAAATACTGCCTAAGCCATGGAAATCGATACGGTTACACGATTACCGTGTTCGCGGAACGACGAGGATATTCGTCGTCGGTCTTCGGCCGTGACGGCACGTCGAATTTCAAAATGGATAACATACAGAACGAAGGGACGTGCATAGAAGAGCCGCGAGCTAAAAGCTCGCAAGAGCTCCGACGAGAATTCTTCTCGTAGGGTCTCTCCCTCTTTCTTGTGCAAACAGCATCTTCCAAGTACCTGAGCCATGCCAATAGAGAACGACGATGTTGAGATAAAAAGAGAAAAAGAAAGAAAGCAAGAGAAAGAGAGAGAAAGAGAGAGAGAGAGAAAGAGAGAAACTGTAGGTGGATGGAAACGTTCGATCCACAGGGTCAACCATTTCAGCTGCCTCCCCCTATGACGCATTCTTTCTCTTTCTCTCTTTCTTTAACCATTTCGAAGACATTTATACTAAATGTCATCCTTTTTCCATTTAGTCGTTCGATCATCACCAGCTGTTGTGAATTTAAGCTCTCCGTCCTGGAAAATTACAACGAGCTAGGAATATAAGGTTGACAAGGGTGAAACGTTCAGGAAAGTTGGATTCAATAAGGGTGGCTGCGTAGGAGTATGGGCAACTTTACGATTACCTTTTCATGACACCGGAATGAAGAGGTTCGAGGTGTCGAAAGGAGAAATCGATTCTCCGAATGAACGACGCATTGGCTGATCAGAGAAGCCGTTCTCAATCGTCTAGCTTTGGGGTAGGAGAGCGTGATAACCGGGTGTCTCGTAGAAGCCAGCCGCTTGAAGAGCATGCAACGAGGTCGCGTGATGCCTGTGTATCGCACCGGCGTACACGCTAGAAACGGCACTGGACGTGACGCCGTTGGAAGCACTGATGGTGGACGAGTTTATGGAAGAGGAAGAAGAGGAAGCCTGCTGCCCGAGATGCGACGTTGTTCGCGATAACAACGTCGAAGATGGTCGCCTGTAAGGATGATGCGCTAGGACGGACGCCGTGACCGAACGATGATGAGTCGACGAGTTCGAGCTCGTCGATGCGCTATACGCTTGTTGATAGCTTTGCCGTAGGATACCGGACACCGAAGTGGTCGTTGACGTGGCAGACGAAGAGGAGGAACTTCTGTCGCTTTGGTGAGGTTGCTGTTGATGAAGTTGATGCGTACGATGATGATGATGTTGTTGCTGTTGCTGCTGCTGTTGAACCTGCTGTTGCTGTTGCTGTTGTTGTTGCTGCCGATGCTGATGGTTATGGGCTCGCATCGCACGGAAGTAGTGTTGATAAATACCTGATATAACTGCCTTTTCGTCGGCAGAAATGAGGTCGGAAGTCGAAGTGGTCGGCGTAATCGAACTTTGAGATTGTTGCTGCTGTTGTTGTTGGTGATGCGGATGAGTTGGGTGAGTTCGATGCTGAGCGTGATGAAGCGCGTGTTGTTGCTGTTGTTGCTGTTGCTGCTGATGTTGATGACGGCGTTGCTGTTGTTGTTGAGCCTGCTGTTGAGAAACTGCGGCAGCGGCATTGAGAGCGGCTCGATAAGAGGCAGCCACGGCGACTGAGGACATCTGACCGTTGGTCGAGGATATCAGGCTCGTCCCAAGAGACTCAGTACTTGGTGCAACCATTGCGGCGGTACACGCAGAAGTCGATGAAACGGTGGAGGTAGAGACGGAGGATACGACGGTGGCTGCTACTGAAGCAGCTGCGACTGCCGAGTTCGCTGAAGAGGCAGTGGTACGCCTTGAGATCCTTCTCGAGGAAGAGGAGGAGGATATTGAGTGTGTGTTGGTCGGTGGTGGTAAATTGTTGACGAAGGGACTTCTTCTTTCTCGTTCGGCTCGTCGATAATAACAAGGGTGTATCATAAGCAAGGGTTCGCCACCACCGGGCGGTGGCTTCGCCTGGCTCGGTAGTTCGTACTCGACGCTGCAATCGACGTGAAGTGGTTGGGAATAGTCCTTGTAATCCTTGTAAGTGGTTACGGCTACAGCCGCGGCCGCTGCGGCCGTCACCGCGGTGCCGGTACCACCGCTCGTGGCGGCCGAGTTCGAACCGGGTCCGTTGGCGGCAGCAGCGGCAGCAGCTGCGGCCACGGCGGCGGCTGCCGCGGCGTCAAGGATACCGCTCGAGCCGGCCGGTAGGACCGTCTGCCCGGGTGTACCACAGTTCGAATTAACGGCATGATGATGGTGATGATGGTGATGGTGGTGATGATGGTGATGGCCATGACCGTGCATCGTCGTGCCACCCACCACCGATTCCTTTTCGTAGCAGGCAGCGGCCATCTTGAAAAGGGGGAGATAGAGAGAAGGATATCTCTATCTGGAGAAGCTGGAAGAGGCTAGAAAATATATATATATATATAATAGGGGGAGAGGACAATGCGTGCTCGCTGGCGCGCGCGCGCGCGCGTCCCTTTTCTCGTCCTCGTTCGCTATGCTTTCATCGTGTCGGGGAGGAACAAACTTCGTCTCTTCTCTTCTCTCCTTCTCTTTTTCCTTTCCTCTCTTCCTCTTCCGGTGTCACCTTCCGCGCGTAGTCCACCGAGGCACCCACAAAGGCACCCTCCACCCACGCTGCCCGCTTAATCCTTGCGGAATCGTCGTGGCCGTAACGATTACGATTCCAACGACTACAAAGACGACGACGACGACGACGACAATGACAACGACGACAACGACGACGACGACAAAGCCGAGACTCCCCTCGGCAAAGAAGGTGAAGAAGTATGAAACGTCGTTTCCTCGATTCTTTCGTTCTTTCGTCTCTCAGGATGCACGCGAGTGCAACAATGGTGACGACGATAGCGATGCCAATGATGACAACGATGACAACGACGTAGACGACAGCAAAGTCGGATCTACGTCACGTCAGGAGGGTGATACCCAAGGGTTGGACCAACAATGTATATCCAACTCCAAGGAAAGCCCTCCTCTTCGTGGGAAGTTCGATTTACCAAGCCGGTACATGCGTTATCGCATATTCGACAAAAAAAATTCGCGTTTCAAAGTAGAGAACCAATGAGAAAGTGAGACTATCTCTATCTCTCTCCGGTCCTTTCCTCTTTGCCTCGCCCACTGGCGATCCAACGCCACGTTCTTACGTTTTCTTCTTCTTTTTCTTCCTTTTCTTCTTCTTCTTCTTTCTCCTCCTTCTTTCTTCTAGTGCTCTTTCTCCTTCCAACGATTCTTTCTTTTTCTCTCAAAGAGACCCTTCACCGTTTCGTCCAGACGAGAGCTTTGTACAAGTCTCGAGCATCTCGTCTTCCTTCGTCTTTGTCCTCGCGAAAGATCGTTCTCTCTCTCTCTTTCTCTCTTTCTCTCTCTCTCTCTCTTTCTCTCTCTCTCTTTCTCTCTCTTTCTCTTTCTCTCTCTCTCTCGCTCTCAGTATAAAACTCCGAACCGCGCAGCGCTCTTCCTTCCGCCGGCTGATTCCCACGGCTCTTCGACGAGACGTTTTATCCGTCGGCGCGGTCCGTCGCGACGACGTCGGCCGACCTTCGACGAGACGAGCCGAGAGGAAAGACGAGACGAATAGGGCGTAGCGTTCGTTTACGCGAGGGGGCGATCGTGCGCGCGTCTTCCTTCGCGATGCGACCGTATTATCGACGATGCTTGCGAACCTACTAAACCGCCCTTCTTTCTTTCCTTCTTCCGTATCTTTTTTCCACTTTTTATTTTATCTTCCTGTTACGACACGATCGACATTGAAAAAGGACAATGTCCTATAATGATTGAAATTTTCAAACTTGTTATATCGTTTTTATTATTATTGTTAATTATTACTTATCCGACGACTTCGATTTTCTTGAACATTAGTATGACGTCGAAATCGTTAATTTTTTTTTCGTCGTCGTTGTCGTCGTCGTCGTCGTCGTTGTTGTCGTTGTCGTCGTCGTCGTCGTCGTCGTCGTCGTCGTGTCGTCGTTACTCGGCTATTGTCGTATTGCACACACTCGCACACACACGTACACGACGTAACACATAGAGGCACACATAGACACACTCTCCCGCGTGTGACAGCGCATAAATGCGGCTGCGAACGATGTCGCACATCCGTCTCTTTTCATGTGTTAGCACGATTATTACGTACTACGATCGTCACGCGGTGACTGCCGTCCTACGACTGAGGGACGTGGTCTTTCCTAACCCGTGCCATTGATACTGTACCCCCTATCTTTTTGCAACGCCCTCTTCCTTCCCTCGCTTATACTCCTGTCTATCCCGCATAGAGTCGATTCATGTGTCATGCAACGATTATACTTAACTACTTCAAATTACACGAAAATGTATAACTTAGAATCCATTCCTTTTCAGATTCTTAATTTTTTTCAAACAAGATTTAAGATTATCTTTCTAATAAATCGCTAATTGCTTTTAATCCTATCAAATACTTTTCCATCAAATACTTTCCTTTTCCATTTAAATTAATCTTTTGGTCAGCGCTTGGTTCTCTTCTAAGTTTAATTGCTTTCAAACTGATTTATTGAATTTTGTATAGATTTCTTGAATCTCTATTCTTCTTTTCTTATTCCTTTTCTATTGAGAATTTCACGGATGAAATTCAAAATTGTTCGTATGAATTTTTAAAAGTGGAAAGAACATAATGTCCTTTTACTACTTTGATTTTATGTGGTATGCATTCACGGTTTTATTTGCTTCTTATCGTGTCGAAAGAAGGTTTATACGTTGAAATTTTAAAAAGTGTGCTCTTACAATTGGTGGATCTTTTCACTAGACCAATGAAGATGATGTATTACCTTAAATGGCGATTATAATTTTCATTGGTTATTTATTATTTATCTGTGATAACGAGCCCATTAATTTATATTTGTTAATAGTAATTTATTTTTGACATCATCACATCATATTATGTATGCATATACATATAGTTTCATCTTTACAATTGTTTGACGTTTTACTTATTTTTTTTTGCAAACCGTTCTATAATAAAATATTTACTGTTAATACATATTTTATTCTTTAAATATACCATTGAATTTGCAAAATCATAATTATATATAACGAGATTAATCACTTCAAGTTGCTAAATATATTTAATGTCGTAAAAGAAATTTCCTACTTTATCGTCTTGTGCATATTATGTATGTCAACACGTGGGTAAACTGTAGCTTGAGTTTAATAAGTTTGTTTTACATTATTTATTTATTATGACTTCGACAGAAGTAGATGTAAATGAAGAAAATGAGGAAAAGTTTAAAAATTTTCATGAATTTGGATTAGATGATAGAATTTTAAAGGTAAGACTAATGAAATATAGGAAATGTATTATGAGAGAGGTTATATTTAATTTATTGCAATTTAAAAATTTGTATAGTGATTTAATTTATACGTTCCTATTTGCATATTTTATATGTAATGTTTGATTATATTTGTTTTAGGCTATAGCGAAATTAGGTTGGTTAGAACCTACACTAATACAGGAAAAAGCAATCCCATTATTAATGAATGGAAAAGATGTTTTAATCAGAGCTAGAACTGGTTCGGGTAAAACCGCTGCATTTGCAATTCCATTGATACAAAAAATACTATCTAATAAACAAACTCAAACAAAACAAGAAATTAAGAGTTTGATTCTAACTCCAAGCAAAGAACTTTGTAAACAAATCTATGAAGTACTTGTGGATTTAACCATAAAATGTAGCAGAGATATACGAGCTATTGACATTAGTCCACAGATTAGTTTAGATACTCAAAAATCATTATTAGTAGAAATGCCAGATATTGTTGTGTCTACACCTAGTAGATTGTTGCAACATTTCAAGGCAGGCAATCTTTCATTAAAACATAGCTTAGAAACATTGATAATTGATGAAGCTGATTTGGTAAGATAACTTAATATATTAATAATTTTAAAAACGATTTTAATGTACTAAATATAACATTTTTCTTTGATAGGTTTTTTCATTTGGTTATGAAGATGAAGTAAAACAGGTTTTGACTTATTTACCAAGGATTTATCAAGCTGTATTAGCGTCTGCAACTTTATCCGAAGATGTCTTAACATTGAAAAAATTAGTTTTACATAATCCAGCAATTTTGAAATTAGAAGAACCTCCATTAGCTCCACCAACACAATTGGCGCATTACAGTCTAGCTGCAGAAGAGAATGATAAGGCTGCTATTTTATATGCCTTATTGAAATTACATTTAATTAGGTATTTATTTTATAATATATTGAAAGTATATAAAGTAAAGCATCAAATTATAGATTCTAAATTTTGTAGGGGAAAAACTATTATTTTTGTAAATACTGTTGATCGATGCTATAAATTAAAACTCTTTTTGGAACAATTTGGAATACCAACTTGCGTACTTAATTCCGAATTACCTGCAGTTTCTCGATACCGAGCTATCACACAGTTCAATTGCGGAACATACGACATAATAATTGCATCTGACGAGAAAGCTTTAGATGAGGTAATTTTTGTTGTCTAACAAATATATCTTTTACAATAAATCAATTTTCTGATTATTAATATATTTATATCTTTCAGGAACATCTAATAAAAGCTAAAAAAGGAAAAAGGAGAAAAGATAAAGAATCGGGTGTAGCTCGTGGCATAGATTTTCAATTTGTATCAAATATAATCAATTTTGATTTTCCACTTGATGTGAATTCTTATATACACAGAGCAGGACGTACGGCACGAGGAAAGAATCAGGGCACAGCTTTAAGTTTCATATCTATAAGGGAAAGGCCTTTACTGGAAGAGGTAGAAGGAGAATTGAAAGAATGCTATGCTCACGATACTTTGTTTAAAACTTATCAATTTAAATTAGAAGAAGTCGAAGGGTTTAGATATCGTGCGAAAGATGCATGGAAAGCTGTAACTAGAATAGCCGTGCGCGAAGCTCGTTTGAAAGAAATTAAACAGGAAATATTAAATTGTGAAAAATTAAAAAGTTATTTCGAGGATAATCCGAAAGATTTACAGTCGTTACGTCAAGACAAAGCTTTACATACAGTAAAATTACAACCTCATTTGAAAGATGTACCAGAATATATAGTACCACCTACTTTGAAACGTTTAATAGGAATGGGAAAGAGGAAACGAAAATTCGATCGAGAATTAGCGTCGTCGGGTGCTACCGCAACGAAATCGAGACATCAAGCACGTGCATCAAATCCTCTTATCAATTTAACAATAAAGAAACGTAAAAAGTCAAAATAAATCTTGTAGGTTATCGTTAAGAAAAGTTTGTATGAAATAAAATTTACTGTTCCTATTTTTAATGTGTGTAACATTTTATTAAAATGTAGAATCTTTTAATCATGAATGTATAAAAATGTCAAGAAATTATTATGTACTATTGTTAATCTCATTGTTATGTTAATTTTACATAAGAAAATCATAATCATTGTTACAAGCTAAGATTTGTCATTAGTTTTCTTTAGCTTGTACTTGCTTCTTATACCGTCATTAAGACCTTCTCTATTTCTTGCCAATTCAATAGCATAGAATTGAATTCTAGTGGTCAATATACTGTTTTCCTCTGAATAATCACCTTCACAGTCTCCTCTTAATAATGTTCCAAAACTATAATCCTCTACAGTGTCTTCGAACTGTTCACAGAAAGGACGCCATTTTTGCTTGCCTTCATCGGATTTTAATTCATCCTCATTTATTTTATCTACCTTCAGATTTGGAAATGCTTCTCTAAATGTTTTATAAATATGATCATCATAAGGTGTGAGTCTCAGAAGTTTTGGATCAACGGAACATAAAATCTAGAACATAAAAAGTCTATTGTTTTGTTTTCATCTTTGATGTAATAATATATTACGTACATTAAAATAAACTTCCGCGTGTTCCATTGCCTGCATTGTCCACATTACTTCCACAGATGCCTGGAAATAAATTATAATAAATTATAAAATTATACAATTTCTTTAAAGGAAGCTAATTTTCCTTCAAGATTCCTTTTTTCACTTTACTTACGTCATTTTCAAATTCTTCTGCGGACCTAGAAAGTACATTAGAAGCAGCTAACAGCTGATCAGCTGTCTAAAAAATAAACATTACCTTTAGAATTCAATTTAAATGTAAGACTATACATGAGTTAAATAAATTATTCAAACTACAGTTTTCTGAGAGAGGTTAAAATATGGAACATCGAAAAATCGTATAATTTTATCGTGTATAATATACATACCATGTTTCCAAATTGTGTCATAATGATAGCAAAACTAGAAAATACAGTCGTATACAATTTATCTTTTACACAACCTACAATATGATCGTTACTGAACTTGTAAACCGAATATACATATCATCCTCAAGAATACACGTGCCAAATGAACTTGGATCAACCATTCAACGAGATTATTTTAATTTATACTATTTAAATATTAATACGTGACTGATAGTTCAGCCTCTTTATTCTTCTCCTATTTATTAATATATTCATAATTTGTAAACTTTAACGAACAATTATAAATTTATTTATAATGATATCGATGAAATAAAAAAGAATTTTGAATTTACCGCGCGACGATCCGACCAATCAGTATATAGAGTTATCGCGCAAACGCGAGAGTTTAAGTATAACAGCAATATACCTAGGAAGTTTCTAAGTAAGGAGTTGTAAGTAGTCACAGGTTCAACAGCGACAAAGTGATTACATATGGTTTTATTTAAAGCTTTCTGACGTGTGTGTGCGGAAACGATTGCGCGCGCAATGAATCAAGCACCAGTATCGTGTATTCCTGCGGGGAAGATGTCAAAGGCGAAAAAAGTGCTCGATGAAGCAAGAGAGATCCAAAATCCTGAACTGGATCTCGTCGACAAGGGCATTGCATCTTTCGAAGAGATGCCAGGATTGCGTGAGTCTTTCCACGCTATGCCAGTCATGAGCTCTTTCGCCAAATTAGGGAACCGGTCGTGACAGCTTTTTTCATGTTAACGAGTTTAAGAACGGCCATGTGTCATTGCTTGTTCATGTGGGCGTTCCCGCGCAGGCGCTTAATTTTAAATCGTTCAAAATTTCATAGAATATTATTTGCGTTTATTTTATTAATAAATTAATATAGGTATTTTTATATATCTTGCATATTGTGGCAAATCAGTACTACATGCAATATTTATATTTATTACAGTTAATATGATCAATGTAACCAGATTATCATTGAGTCATAATAAAATACAAGGTAAGAAATTAATTTTCTGATTAATGTAATTTCAAATTGTTCCTAATTTATAATATTTTTAGAGGTACCTCCAGGACTGGCTAATTTAGTCAATTTGGAAATATTAAATCTATTTAACAATCATATCACCGAATTGCCTATTTCTTTATCTCAGATGCCAAAACTAAGAATCCTTAATGTAGGGTATGTATCATTAATGCAATTCTTCTGTTTATTTATTTAAATGTAATGGCTCAATCTAAATGTTTATTTACAGGATGAACAGATTAGATATATTACCTCGTGGATTTGGTGCCTTTCCAGTGCTAGAAGTTTTGGATCTAACATATAATAATCTCAGTGAAAAGAATTTACCTGGAAATTTTTTTATGATGGGTAAGGTATAGAATGTATATATAAATTACCTTTTACAATATAATGGTAAAAATTAATATTTCTTGATTTTCTAGAAACATTAAGAGCTCTCTACCTGGCCGATAATGATTTTGAGTATTTACCACCTGAAATTGGACAATTAAAGAATCTTCAAATTGTAAGATGATGTACCTTTTTTTTAAGTATGAACTTAGAAAATATTTTTCTACCTTTATCCCTTTGTAGCTTGTATTAAGAGAAAATGATTTAGTGGAATTACCAAAGGAAATTGGGGAATTAAGTCGTTTAAGAGAATTGCATATACAAGGAAATCGTTTAACTGTTTTACCTCCAGAATTAGGTATGCAAAGAAGTTATTAAAAATGAAATAATCATTTCCACGTTATAAATAACAAATCTTAAATTTTTCTCAAACAGGAAACTTGGATCTAGTGAGCAACAAAGCTGTATTTAGAATGGAATTTAATCCTTGGGTAACACCAATTGCTGATCAGTTACAAGTCGGTATATCTCATGTAATAGACTACATTCGTTCAGAAACATATAAATAGTAAGTGTGGTAAATTTGGCAACTTTTGGCAGACTTTGTACAATGATTTACGATGTTTAAATGTGTCATTTTTTTTATAGCGTTTACAGTCGACATCAAAGCGCTAAAGGACCGCCACCTCCAATCGAGAATGATAAAAGCAAAAAAATTTCACGTGCTCGTTAATATTACAAATATTTGATGTGCTTAATGATTTAACGCTAAAGATAATGATTTTAATCCATTCACTGCCAGTAATATCGTATATACAATAACATGTAACTAAAATCGGTGCCTTATCTGTATTTTATATGATATTGTTAATTATATTTTTTAATGCTATATAAAGGATACAAGTATTTATTAAATATAATACATATATGAAAGTGTACGTAAAAGATATAAACATAATTTGAATAATGTTATTATTGCATGGCTTTAAATGTGATTAATGTAAATAAGAGATATTGTATATTTTATAAAATAAAATATATCTTACTTATTTAAAGAATGAATTGTAACTTTTTTAATTTCTTTAACCATAGATCATTGCGTGTCATCTAAAATAATGAGAACCTTCATTAGAATATTTTTCATATTTTATTCCTTTAATAATATTAGTAGAAACTTGAATACTCGTCAGCGTTGATTTATCGATACGCTTTTCATATCTAAACGTCAATTTTTCGAAAGTATATATATATATATATAAATAAAGAGAGTATATGTATATATATATATAATCGCGAATATGATGGAGAACATAAGTAGAATAGAAAATATAATATTGAAAAATAGTACTGAAAAGCATAAAGAAGAATAAATAAGAATAAATAAAAATAAATGAGAATTTCTACCTAAGGGCCATACCTAAGGGTTCTTACCTAGAAGTTCCATTCAAGGATCCTATCTGAGAATTACATGCTATACGTATTTTTCTTTACTGAAAGAAATTAATCCCAATGATTTATACCGAAGGGCTCAATAACTTATAATTGTTCTCTTCAGCCATATTTTGAAGACTTCTTATAGGCATATAGATTCCTTTTTGTTTCGTGCTCTAATCACTATCGTAAAGTATTTCATAACAATGGTTAATGACAAAGAATTAGAACCGTCTCCGGTTCTAAAATGTGGAACAGAACCTACAAAGCAATCCAGAAAAAAAAACCCGAAATTTTTACATAAAAAATGATTATTATCTTTTGATCGAGAGATATTTATTTATCGAAAGATAGAAAAAGCATAAAGGGAGAAATGTTTATTAATTAGTATATTAATTCCAGAAAATCCTGAATTGAAAATTAATTAACTTATCGTAAGGCCTACGGGTTGTTATTCTATAAGTCTCTTTGTTTTTTTAGCAATAATACTACTCGACTTTTCTCTTTCAAAAGTAATAATTCTACTCGACTTTTCTCTTTCAAAAGTCATAATTATACTCGACTTTTTTCTTTTAAAAGCAATTACTCTATCGAGACTTTTCTTTTATCAACAAAATTGATTAAATTTAAAAATTAATTTTTACATAAAAATTTAATGAAAAATCCTTGGACATTCTTTCTTACAAGCGATTATTCTGAATATCACAAAAAAATCATGCAGTTTCGCTTGTAATCCAAAAAACTATTCATCGGGAATGTCTTATTATTCATTTTTTATTTGAACTCGTGAATACTAATTCTTTAATATTTTCGTAAGGGAAGAATATTTAAAAACACATTGAAATATTCAAAGTGTAAATAATTATAAACGCTTATGAAACAAAAAGATCCTATCTAATAAATAAATTAAAAAGTAAAGAACCATTTGTGAGTCAATCTCCGAGGAAAAGTTATTCATCACTCAATTCTCTTTTATTAATTAAATACAACAAATCACTCATGTCGATTCGAACCTTTCGTCCTCGACATGATTGAGTGATTAGAGGGATTTAAAAATTAAAGCACTACTTAAGAAGTTCTGCGATAGCTCCAAAACACTTGTTCGCGATTTAGATCGAAATTGAGGGTGAATGATTCGTAGGTAATTGAGAATGAAATAAATTTACATGAGATCCTTTTTAATTACGCATTAATTCTGATAACCAGTAATTATTTTTAAACGATCAATCTACTACTAAAAAATGAAAAAGCCATGTTCTCGTTTAAATCTTCATCTTTAAAATAAGATCTTGTTCATTAATATCGGTCAAATATTATGCCTGTACTCATTGTTAGCGTTAATTATTATAAAACTAGAAGTAATAAACAAGCTAAATAACTCAAAAAAGATGTATTATACATAGCAAGTGTTACAAAAAAAATTAATCGACGAGGATGGGATTCGAACCCACGCGTGCAGAGCACATTGGATTAGCAGTCCAACGCCTTAACCTCTCGGCCACCTCGTCTGTTTTGAGGGGTATAAAAAAATTGTTGAAGAGAGCAGCAACCCTTTGATAAAAATTAAACAGGTTTTCATAATTAAATAAAAGTATACATATATGTGTCTCTTATTGTTATGCTTCAATTGATATAAATTACATATCTATATTATATTATAAAACTACAGATAAGAAAAATAATGTGATCTACAAGAGAATAAAATCGATCGATTAAAATAATTTGGAATCAATTTCAATTAGTACGCCAGTTAGAAAAATCACAACACGATCGGCATTTCTCTCGGCAACCAAAACAAAATTTGTTTAATAAGGTATGGCTCGACAGTTTGGCTTGGACATTTGAACCGTAACATCGTTCGTTCATCCCATCACGATTCGAATTAACAGCTATTAAAATGGTAAAAAATATTTACAATCCTACGATATTTAAGGTCTAGACATGTGTCTTAATATTATAAAATATAATTTCATATTAAAAAATTGTTGAAACGAGTCTTCTATATTTTATTCACGATTATTAAATATCCTACATGTTATACTTTAATCCAAGATTTTTTAGCGATCAATTTAAAAGATAAAAAATTAAAAAAAAATTATTGGCTATTAGCGTGAAGTGCTGTCCGTCCACATCGGTCAAGGTGGTGTACAAATGGGCAATGCCTGTTGGGAATTGTATTGCCTTGAACATGGTATACAACCTGATGGGATGCTTCCAGCAACAGCGTGTACGAGTGACGAAGGATTTCAAACGTTTTTCAGTGAAACTGGTGGAGGAAAATACGTTCCTAGGGCTGTTTTCCTCGATCTTGAACCTACTGTTATAGGTAAGACTTTAAAACTCTAAAACCTTCATTTTCTTTCTAAAAACGATTTAATCAAAATTAATCATCATTTCCAGACGAAGTTCGTACTGGAACCTACCATCAACTATTTCATCCAGAACAATTGATTTCCGGGAAAGAAGATGCTGCAAACAATTATGCACGTGGTCATTATACTCTTGGAAAAGAAATAGTAGACCTGGTATTGGATAGGATACGCAAAATCGCTGATATGTGTGCCGGCCTTCAAGGATTTTTAATCTTTCATGCATTTGGTGGTGGTACCGGTTCTGGATTTACCAGCTTACTGATGGAAAGACTTTCTATGGATTATGGAAAGAAAGCTAAGCTTGAGTTTGCTATTTACCCATCTCCACAAATTTCTACAGCCGTTGTCGAGCCATATAATGCAATTTTAACAACTCACACGACTTTGGAACATTCCGATTGTGCATTTCTCGTCGACAACGAAGCTATTTATGATATATGTAGGCGTAATTTGGATATCGAGAGACCAACGTATACGAATCTGAATCGATTGATCGGCCAAATTGTATCTTCGATCACAGCATCCCTTAGATTCGATGGTGCTCTTAACGTTGATCTCACTGAGTTCCAAACGAACTTGGTACCTTATCCTAGAATACATTTTCCTTTGGTTACCTATGCTCCTATAGTTTCGATCGAAAAAGCCTATCATGAGCAATTGACAGTCATGGAACTAACTTCGGCTTGTTTCGAGCCAGCTATGCAAATGGTCAAATGTGATCCACGTAGAGGAAAATACATGGCTTGTTGCCTACTTTACAGGGGCGATGTTGTTCCCAAAGATGTGAATGCTTCTATTGCGACCATCAAAACTAAACGTGCTATACAATTCGTCGATTGGTGTCCCACTGGTTTTAAGGTACGACTCTAATATTTCATATATATATATATTCATTTTTTCTATAATTTTTATATACTTTAGGTCGGTATTAATTATCAACCACCAACTGTAGTACCAGGCGGTGACCTTGCTAAAGTTCAACGTGCGATGGCTATGTTA